CAATGGAAGAGAGGAACCAAAAAAAACCTCTGTGGGTCCAAGGTACATGAGCTGCCCAACCCCACTGGACATGCTAAACATTATTGAAAAAGAAATAGAGTGCTTGCTTGCTAAAAGCAAGGTGTAAACTGTGATCAAAGTTTAAGTCCAACAATGAGTGAGGTCTCCACATCAGACTGTGTAGGGTGGCAGATTGAATTATGCACAATATCCACAATGTCACCCATCCATGGGACTGAACCATGACTCCAGCTCAGGGCATCCCCTGGGCACCATCCTGACATGTGGGAATGAAGGCAGAGAGCATGGGTGGTCAGAACATGCACAGACACATTAATGAATAAGCATAGTAGATAAAAACGGCATGTACAGCACCACCAGCAGCCAAAGTTATGGTTTGTTATGTGTTAAGTTGCAGGCAAGCTAAACCGAAGTAATAGGTCTTCATTTGAAACTGAATTGGCATCCCAAACATAGGTTGGCAAACCATTCCACAATATAGAGGCCCTGTAGCAGAATGCTTTACCGCCAACTGTCACTTTACTTATATGTGGAAAGATAAGGAAGTCTGCATTCTTTGATCTGAGTGGACAATGATGCTTATAAACATGAAGTAATTCTGTTAGGTAAGGTCCTAGACCTTTAAGTGCCTTATATGTAAGTAGGAGAACTTTGAAGTCATTCCTGAATGTAACAGGAAGCCAGTGCAGGAAAATAAGAGGAGGGCTTATATGTTCAAACTTCCTGCTCCTGGTGACAATTTGAGCTGCAGCATTTTGAATACATTGCAAGGTGTTTAATGTGCAGTGTGTGCATTACAGAAGTCTAACCTACTGTATACAAAGGCATGTATCAATTTCTCAGTGTTTTGAATAGTAAGGTACTGTCAAAGTTTGGTAATGTTACGTTGCTGTAGGAAGCACACCTTTAATACTGAATCCACATGTGATTTGAATGAGAGGCTTGTATCTAAGATGATGCCTAAGTCATGGGCTGTGGTGGTGAGGGAAAAGTTCAGCCCCATAGAGGGTTATTGCAGAGATTATAGCATTCCTATCCACAGACTTGCCTCCAAACAAAACAGCCTCGGTTTCCTGAGCATTTAGTGATATTAAGTTTTTGTCCTCCAGGTCTTTACTTATTTAAAGCATTTAGCTAAAGTGACAATAGATGCAGTGTCATTAGACAGAGCTGAAATGTATATTTGGGTGTTGTTGGCATAGGAGTAATAATTAACATTATGATTTCTCATCACGTTAACTAATGGCAGCATGTAAAAAGAAAATAAAGAGCGACCCCAGAATCTGAGCCTCACTATATCTAGATGGTATAATAATAATCGATACTGCTCCTCCTTGGATTGCCACCTTATCGTGGTGGAGGGGTTTGC